TGCTTGTTTTCTATTGACTCAACCCCAATTCTTAAAAAATAGCGATAATAAGAACTAACCGTTCGTTCTTTTTGTAGTTCATGTTGTAATTTATCAACCAAACCATGAGAAAACTATTTATATAAGATAAATGATTAACCTAATGTAATATTATAAAAAAAATCAATTGGTAATTAATAAAATACTCACTCGAATTTGAGGCTCATTATATATTACCATGTCCACCGGTGTTGATTGTTTGCCACCCATAATTATAAGGAATTTTGTACATACAAGTTTGTCTTTTACTGCAGTATTTGTGTGATAAAATTTTATTTATATAATTTATAATTTAAGCTTTTTTAATCTGACCAATCAAAAATAACTGATGGTTAAGATATCAAAAAAAATTTGATCAACTATTTTATCACCCTCGAAATGTTTCATATAACATCTTTTCTTAGAAGAAATACATGTAATATACAAAAAAATTTTTTAAATGCTTTAATCTTGCGAGGTATTTTTACTGGTTCTACTACAGGTTTTAGAATTCCTCTTCCACCAGAATTCTCGCAAATTGAAGATGCCATAGAAGTCTTTAAACCTTGTGAACAACCCGCTTCAGTTTCATATTTCACAGCAAAGCCTCACTATAACGATCTTCTTATACATCTTGACGAACTTTTTGAAAAATATCGAAATGCACCAAAACTAAAACGAGATAAAAATTCACCAACCTTATGGATGCTCAAGGATCACCTCAGTTCAGAACTAGGCTTAAAGTTAAAATCCAACCAATATCGTAACATAACACGAAAATTAAATCGGTTAGATCTTGTTGTACCTGGAGCAGCACCAAAGTTACATAATTTTTTAGAATTGTTTAGACGAGTTGATTTAGAGAAAAAAAAGAAAGAGTTAGAAGCAAATAAAGCACCTAATCGATATGGTGTGTCATATGCTGTTGGCAGAAGGAAAGAAGCAGCTGCACAAGTATGGATAGTCGAAGGAGATGGCAAAGTGTTTGTTAATAGTATTCCGGTAGCAGACTATTTCTCTTTACTGAAAGATCGTGAAACAGTTTTATATCCATTAAATTTGACTGATACACTTAATAAGTATAATATATGGACCAAAGTCAAAGGTGGTGGTACATCTGGTAATATTACTGTGTATACATATATAAATGAATGCGTATATTGGTTACTGAAATTCACAACAAGTCATTGAAGAAAAGATTATGTTTTAATTATTCTAAAGGTCAAGCTGGAGCTATTGCTCACGGTATTACCAAAAATTTGATAATACACGATCCATTCCTAAAGCCGGTTTTACGAAAAGGTTCAATCACGATACAACGCTTTTTATTTATACAGTATTTATAATATTTACATCTTTAATTTACATCTATTATATTTTATTAGCCAAACTCGTCACTCGAGATATTCGTAGTGTTGAACGTAAGAAACCTGGCCTTGCGAAGTCAAGAAAGAGATATACATGGTACATAAATTGTGTTCACATGAGGTTTGACTTATATACTTTATATATATTTTTTTCGCTAAATTAAATTTGTTCAATGATTTTAGGGTAAAACGTTAAAGATAATGGGTAATATTGTAACAATTCTAAGATATGATTTATAATAAAAACTGCAATTGCTGGAAGGTTCATCTCGAGATAACACTACTCTCTATATAACATAATAGTATGTGCACGTTATTTAGCACATTTATTTTAGATGAAAAATTTTTGGATTGACATGACAGACAGACAGACAGACGGAGAACATGTTAACAAAAAAATTTATTAGAAACGAATCGTTGTAGTGAATTCTATCTTGTGAAGATTCTAATAATAAAGAATATTACATTACAGTATTATTAAACTTCAACTCGATATAAAAAATATATACAATGCATTCTCTCAATATAAACTCTAGTAAACCCTATAATTAGTCACTTGTACCAATGCCAATTTGAATAAATTATCTATATAGCCAATCAAAAAATGAAAATTCTATTTATGTGTTTTAGTTACAATGACTCTTATCATTTCCCTTCCCATCTTTTTACTTTCTTCGAATCTAATAATGAGCATTAAGTAAAAATCAGTAAATTAACAAGTGTATAGATAGAAATGAAATAATGAAATGGTTGATTTTTTTTACCTAGATTCAAAGAATTTTGAAGTATCCTCAAACCTTCTTTGATATGTAACCATATTACCAATATCAACACATTCTGCCCAACCTTTAGTTGCACTATAAAATTCCATATCATCCGCTCGAATATCTTTACTATATAATGCTGAATGAATTGCTTCATCTAACATATCTGAATTGCAGAATAAATATTCTGTGATACCTCTAAAAAGGTTAATATTAATTAATAAAAATATATAAAAAAAAAAAGGTAAAGAAAATTAAATAAATGCACATACAGCCAAAGTCTAAAAAGTGGAGTCTGGCACACCATATGTTCATACGGATTAATTTTGAGAGAATGCCAACAATCAGCCTTTAAAGTGATAAGTGTTAAAAATTGTATTATCAGTAATAATACAGATAAAAACCTGTCATACTAACCATTGCTAACAATGATAAATGAGAATTTGGTTTTCTTTTATCTTTAGGCACACTTGATAAAGAGAATTGATCTAAAATAGAATCTGATAATAATATTTGTTCGCGAGAGGAATTTCTAGTTTTACCAAAGACGTACTCTCCCGCCTAATTTATAAATAAATCATTATAAATAATCATAAAATCTAGATTATGAATAGAAAAACAAATAATAGTTATCATTTAAAATATGTACAGTCTTCACGCGAGCAGTGAATTCTTCCTCTTTTTCTTGAATCATCAACTTAAACAGATCAGATACTGATTGTGAGTATTGCTTAATTTGTATTTTTGCAGCTGGATTCATAATAGCAATTCCTATTGATCGTTATAAAAATGAACATAAATAATGATAATTTACTATAATCGTAAATTTATTATCATTTTTTATTTTGAAATACTTACCGGCATAGACATGCCATTTGTTCGAGTATATGCGTAATGCCATATGAACTTTAACATTTTCTATCCCACCAACGTATTGCGGAGTTTCCCACTAGTATAAGAAAATGAGATTAAATTTTTTTTTCCCGATAAATGTATGTATTTATTAGGCCTTATATAATATCATACCGGGAATTGTTTTTGAGTCTTCCAAGCAGTTCCCATACTTTAAAGAAAAATTTATAAATAAATAACACGTATACCTTCGTATATACATTCTCAAACTATAAAAATTTTAATTCGCTTACCTTAAAAAGGCCACGTGAGTCACAGCTTGAGTATCAGCCATGATACGATCATGTTCACTATAGGATAAAACTACAACTTGAGATTTCAAACATGATAATATACGTAGTGCTAATTGGAATTTCTCTTTTGTGCCGCGATGTTGAATCATAACCTAAAGATGTTTTTAACATAAATAAGAATTTTAACTATAAATCTTCACGTGATTTGTCAGGCGGTTTATAAATTACCAATGGCTGCCCTTCAGGATCTACAGTAGGTCCGTGAAGCGAATGACACGAAACGATGTGAACATCTTCGGGAAGATGTTTTTCGAAAGCACGAATCTCAGGTTCTTTAACTGATGTCTATTCATATAAAAGTAGAAAGAATAAAATAATAATCATAAACATGTAAAAAAAATATCGACATTCTCATACCTGACCAGCTACTATAGAACCAACTTTGGTAGCTAATTTGTATTTGAAAAATGAAAAAGTATTATATGATGAAAAATATAAACTCTAATTCTAATAATTAAAATAGTTAACTCACAAGGACCATATTGAGCAACCACTTTATCAATATTCTCAGCTTCGACAGAGTAAATGATAAAATCACTCTTTCTCGATACAGCATGACCATCTCGAAGAACATTCAAACCACTATCTAAAATTTTTTTTATTAAATATTATTATTAACAATCAAAATATCATCAAGCATATATAAGTTATCAAAACATTATTATAAACCTTTCAATTTCACTTTTAGTTGTTCATAACGTGATGGCAGGTCGCATACATTCACACTTCAAAAGATAAAAATGATAGACAAAGTATTAAATAACCTTATTTACATAATAAACCTGTCAATACAGGTTGTAAAATACGTGTACCTTTTCCACCCGGCCTTTACTATTCTCTTAGCATACATTAAACCCATGTCACCCAATCCTATTATGCCAATTTCTACCTCGCCTTTTTCGTGTTCAGCGACAGTCATATTGTGAGTTTGTAAAAAGAAGCTCATAGTCCCCAAATTTTTTAAGGAAGGCTTTATATTTATGCATCTACGTGGCTTGCTTCGAAACTTTGTTATTATTATCACGAATTAACAAGTTATTATGCACATTTATCTATTTTTATGAATAACAGATAATCTTACACATGACATTTACGACATAGCAAATATAATTGGTGGATTTTTATATATAATTATAGATTTTTAATATATACAGTATTTCGATAGTCGTCAAAAACTATGAAACTCTATATATACATTTTTTATAAATTTTTAAAATCTATAAAAAATTTTTTTTTTTTAAAAAGAAATTCACATTCAATAATATTTATTTCTGAAACAGCAGAAAAAGAATTATTTTTTGCCCCTTTCCTCACGCTTAATATGTTCTAATTTTTCTTTGTATCTTTTTTTTAAATCTTCTTTACTTTTTTCGGCATCAAACTTTCTTGCATTTGTTGATCCAGGATTTCTTCTCTCCTGAGTGATAAAACGCATTGATTCTTGTTTATATTCAGACTTTGAAATACTTTTTACTTTTTCGGCACATTTTGGAGAATGGGATTCAGGATGTCTTAAAAAATTTATTCATATTAATAGAAAATCTTATGATGTAAAAATAGTACGTAAAATAAATTATATAATTAATTAAATTTACCTATGCGTTATACAATATTTCATATTACAGTATTGACAATTGTAACTCAATACCGACAAATTTTGTTTACATTTTGGAACAGGACACCCATTCGAAACTGGTTTCTCGTCACTATTTGAATCACAATAAAGATAGTGACGATTTAGACGAAATTATTGCACATATTATGGGGTATACATTAAATCGATTTAATATACAGTATAACCTCGATATAACGAAGCTCTGAAGCTGAAGGTTTTGCTTCGTTATATCTATATTTCAATATATCAGGGTCT